TCAAAATATACGATTTTTATAGTAAACCACTTTTCTTAGAGCTATTTTACTGTTAGGATTTCCATCTTTAGACATTATTCCGTGCCACTATATGTATATTGTTCCCTATTAATATTATTTTTCTATTCAACGAAATAGAAATATATTGAACTATACAGTTGCCATAAATTTTCCTATCAGCACTTATGTCCTTAGTTGTCATTAAAGCCGCTTTGTAGGTCCGCTAAATACAAGAGTTCAGCTGGAATAATGACTGGCACTTGATCACTAGTAGAGAAATAAACTCAGTCACACTTGGAGTTCTTTTACATCTTTAGTTTTTTTCGTTGGACTTCATCACTTGCTATCTATTTTAATTCCGGATTGTGATGATGATAAAATAATGTCTCTGGCATTGACATATATATCGCATAATTAGTTTTTTATATTCTTTCTACTTCAAGCACAGTATTCATATTATTAAAAACCTTTTTATGACTTAGTAATGATGTAAAATATACAGATATTTATTTCGTAACCAGGTAACCACTTCACTTCACATTTCTTTCCAATAAATCTAAGGACTATATTTGTACTTATGTATACTCATTAGTAATATTTCATTATTGCTTAATATGATAAAAGAAATTATTTTAAATTACTAAAGCTGTATTAAATACCCAGTAAACTAAAGTTATGGGTACGGACCTGATTGATATCTGCTTTTTCTTATAAATTAAACCGAGAGCTATTCAAAATAATTTTTTAGACTTTTTTATATTCACGCTTCAGCCAGCCTTATTTAGACTAGTAGAATGCTTGAAAATCTTGGTGTTTGCACGAATGAGTTTGAACACAGCATATCAAAAAGTATTATCCTATCCCGTAATATCGATTAAGTTATCACAGATGTTACTTTTATAGAAAAGTTATGTTTTAATGATAAAACATATCACTTTTTCTTTCCACTGTAACTTATCAACTAATGGCTAGATTGTCATCAATTTGGCATATATCCTAAAAAGCAGACAGTTTAGAACGAGAATTCTAATTGTTCCCTAGAGTTTTTTCTTGAGGCAGTATTTATATATCAGGTGAAACCTCACTTCATGGTTTCAAAAAAAATCCATCAATGATTTTATTTGATTGCAAACTTAAAATAAGAAATTTAAACATGATTTTTAAAATAAATAAACAACAGCATACATGTTTCATTTAATAGATATTCAAACTGTTGATTAAATACTTTTATAAGTAAAATTAAAAACACTAATGTTGGAATTAGCAATGTAAGCAAATTTTTTAATGATTTCATTATGCCACGACTGTGTAAATTGTTAACATTTACAATCTTGGAAATTGTTTGGCGTTAAGTGAACGGCAAGAAATGGATAATTCGCACTTCACCATCAAAACATCTAAACGATTTGTGTACTCTTGCTACTGGAACTCAGAACTCAGAAATGATCCACTGCCGTTGCCTCGATTAATTGTTTCCTTCAGATTGTGAGGAAAAGCAACGTTCGTTATATTGTTGGATATCGCAGTAGAGTCCTACATACATACGAGTATTTTGTTAAAAATCAAAGTCGGCATTTCATTACCTGAGCATAAAATGCGTTATAAAAGTATAAAAATTAAAGAATGAAGATCATAAACAGAAGATTGCGCGGTATTACATTTTATTAAGCGGCAGCTATCAATCAACGCAGAAATGAATTGAACATTCTATGAAGTAGCAGTGATTTTACAACAACGCATCACTCTCACCGGTGGTGGCAATCTATTAGCACCTTTAAAGTACATTTACAACATTTGTCAATCTGACTAACAAAAACCGTCGACGATCACTTGTTGTAGCGGCCAAAAAGACTCAAGTCCCATTGTAAGCCATTGTAGATTCTTAAGTTGCCGCCCAATCATGAACAACAATAACAACAACAACAGAAGTTGTAACTTAAATCAAGTGAATGCCAATGTATCTAAACGCAGCTATTGGTATCTAAATGGATATATTTAAGGATCTGATTTGATACCAATTTATTCATTTTTCAATACTTTTAATTGTGATGTTATTAATTTAAAAAATTAGAGCAATTTATTATTTATAAATATGTATTCATTTCGAAAATGTCACCTAATAAATTCGTTTCAGTTTCAGCTTACACGTGATTTTCTATCTATGAGATATTTGTACATGTACTTGAAAATTTATCTACGTCACGTACGTATAAGTATTATATTGTATTCGAAATGGACACAATAGCAGCAGTTAAGGTTGATAGTTGCTAATGTGAAGCGATACAGGGTAATTATAAGAACTGTTTGGATACCATATCTAATAGATGACTTATATGTATACCATATATATATGAATATTTATAATATATATAATGCTAAAAATATGTTAACTATTAGAATAGAATCATTTTCAGTTTAATTTTTTATTCATTATAAAATAATATTGTTATGATCATCACGATCGACACTAAACGAAACAAACCAGATCGGCTAAGTAAACACAAAATGTTTATATTGAAGTTTTATTTAAATTTGTTTAAAATAGTCTCACTCTAAGGGAGACTTTATTATATCTATGGTATTATGGTATGGTCATTATCATTATGGTATTTTTCTCTATTTTACTTTTAATTATAAATTACAAACCCAATGTTGCTCTCTATCTCAATGAGGAACAAAATATTCTGCTTTTGATTTCAATCTACAATCTAATCTTCTCCACATTTTATTTCATACTTTTTCCCTTCTCTATATTCTCTTAATTACAAGAATGAAGTTTACACTATTCGATCTTTATAAGATATATGGTATTATAGTGTAATATAACATAATATAATAATTCCCATTCCAATATCGTTAAGGATATCGGAACTTATTGAAGTCCTGTATTACTTACTTACTTGCTTACTTACTGCTATCCTTCTCTCCTAGTAGAGCATAGGGACTTGTTGTGGTCCTGTTTGGGAATTTTTAATGCGTTCCACCTTCAGAAGTAATACTAGATCTAAAACTGATTAAAACTGATTAGCTTAGGTGTATTAATTTAGAAATTATTTTAAACATGATTTGAAAAGATTTAAAACTGTATACTTAGCTAAAGATAGGTCACTGTGAACTCTGCTATCTTAAAATAAAAATTATGTATGTAACGACGATTCCTCAGACTCTGTCGTGACAAGCTGTAAAATATAGAACTGTGTACCTGCTTTGTTGTAACTAAATGCAGATGAAACTATCACGAGTCTGTAATTTTAAACCCAAAGTCTTAAATCAGATCTATAAAAATCCATATGTCCATATGTCGGACTACAAACGTTCGAGTAATGGGCAGAAGAACACACTCCATTTGGCATTGACTTCAATTCGAAGCGAGCTAAGTATAAGTTCATTCACAATTAATCTTTATATATTAAGACTTTAACATCCCTTCATATGCATCACCCTGTATATATTTTTGAAATTGTGCCCAGTAAGAGACACAGACTTCGAAATATGAAGACGAAAATAAGTAAAAAATTGAAATTAATAAAAATTTCACTTGAATTGACAAAGTGGAACCCGGCGTGACGAATGTCATCATCATGGCAGCAGGTTGCTGACGACAAGTGCCTCTTCACAAACTGTGCGAATGTGGAGTACTCTGTGTACACCACACAGTGATGAAATTTTTGTTTATGGAGGTTTTAGTTGTTCCAAAAAAAAAAAATATCTGAAATATTTAATATTTTTTCATTGTTTTTAAATGCATACTCGTTAATTCAATATTTCGATATGAGTGAAAAGTGGATAATGGATGCGTGGTGCAGTTGTTGTCTCGGTGACACAGTCGCTCACCAATCATTCAACTTTTCACAGTTGATGATTAATCTTGACATTGAATTGTTGATATTGAACATTTTTCATACACTTTTGTAAATATTATATAAATTAATTTTGTTTAATTCAATGAAATTAATAAAACATTTTTATTAAAAAAAAAAAATGAAGGAAAGCAGCAAAGATAAAAACATGCGTTCAATATATTTTCAGTATAACTTTTTTAATATTTTTTAAATATATATTTATGTTGTCTTATTATTTTCAAATAAAGGTATTTTTAATTATGTATTGTATTTCTTATCAGTTATAAGTAACTGAGCTCAATTAACAATTGAAAAACCAATAAACAGATTAATTTTAATTAGTTTTTTTAAATAAATTTTACATGAGCATGTATAAGTATATGTAAATAAGTATAAAAAATGTTAATTATACTTCAATATATTAAATGTATTTAAACTAATTCTTATTTATGTAATAATACTATATATATTGCATGCGTCAGTTACAATATAATTTATTTCTAAATTCTTTTTTACTATTACTTTAGTTGGAGAAAGAATAACAAATTTTCATATTTTCACATTAAAAGTTATAATAATAACTATATAATTATATACCATACATAATTATACTATCTAACGATTATTTTTCTTCGAGAACTTGTCTTATGCTAGTCCAAATTTTTTATTTATTTTCACTTCATTCTTCACCTCTGACTTCATACTCAAAGTTTTAACAAGAACAATAAGTATTATTACTATTAATATTATTATGTGGGGAATAGTATGTAAAGCGATTTGGGTTGTATATTGAGCTAACTACAGTTATCTTAATCAATCTTTAGCTACTATGTAGTTTTGATTATTCAAAGAAAATGTGTTCCGACATCATTATTCATTTAACATCATCGATATTGATCTACGCTGGAACTCATTTTGTTAAGATAATGCTTTCATCACCTACACCGACTTGACTGAAAATTTAAATATATACTTTGTAATTTTGATTATTCAGAGAAAATTGTGGTCAGATGTATCCAACATTCATTTAACAGAAGTGTTCGATATTGATCTACCCTAGAACTTTCATCACCTGCACCGACCTGACTGAAAATTTAAATAATCTCTCAAATGAATCTAAGGGTCTATTTGAGAGTGTCTCAGAACGGAAGATAGAATTTAGAACTTACCCACTGATTCTGTAATTGATGACAATGTTCCTTTCACTAGGGTACAGGACTAGAATAAAAAAAAAATATTATCATTAAATATATAAGTATATAATTTTTATGTTAATATAGTCTATTTTTATTATGAAGGATGAAAGCATCAAAAGCCTTGTGTAGTGAAAAACTTAACATTGTAACATTTTTTTCGTCCGAACAATGAAATCCCACTACCGCCAAGCAACAATAGGTCCACTTAGAAAAATAATTTGGTTGATTTGGTTAACTAGATCTTAACTAAATCTCAGGTAAACCATACTACATCTTAGTTTTCATATCTTCTTTATCACATGAGAAAATTTTTCTAACAAAATGAACAGGTCAATTTGACTAGTAAGTGGTTAGAGTAAGTAAGTAAGTGGTTTCTGTGTATTACGTCGGGTGGCACAATACTATTCATGCTTTTTAAAAGCTTTAATTCCAGTGCATTCTTTAATGATATACTCTGTAAATATGTTAAATCCATTTTACTTTTCAAATAATGTGTACATCTATTAAATTATGTTATCGACTTATGTTATAGACGCGACACCGATAACACTCTCCATTGTAGGACGTCTCTTAAATATTTGAAATAGTTTCGCTATGCTGGAACCATTACGGCAAGCAAAACCTGCCTCGAAACAAAGAATTTAGCATTAGTAGATTACAAATATAACATTAAAGCTACCTAAAAAAACTCTCAGGATATAATTACTCATCTAAAATACTTATATTCAGCTATGCCCACCTAATATGTAATATACTCTTTAACTAAAAATCTTTTATTAAGACTGATAATATCCAGAAATAAAGTTTCATGAATTTTATCCTAAAGCAAAATATGAGTTATTAATCCATTAGAAATGTTATGAAAACATAATTCATCCAAAATAATCAAAAATAAATTATGTGAACGGTATCCTAAAGCATTATAAGTTATTTAAAAAATGTTTAAAAGTTATTAACATTTTTTTGAAATAATTGATACCATTACTCAAATTCGATTATTTAAAAAGAAAAAGTTGTTAAACCAAATAATATGGTATGTCGTAACAATCCTAAAGTTCGATAAAACAATGGGACAACTTTTGCGAGGTGAAAACCAAGTTTTGGAGGTTTTTGAAGAAGATTGGAAAAAATGCTTTGACAAATGATTCGAATGCATACAAAAGTGTATTAATCATAAAGGGGAATACTTCGAGAAACAATATAGCAACTATCAACGATAGGTTAGTATTTTTCCATTATTAGGCTCAAAATATACATAGTGACCCTCGTAAAAGGCTTAGTGGGCAGTGTCTGTAGTTAATTGTGCTGGCAATGGTATCTACTAACAGATATAAATGATGGATATCACAAAATATTAGCAGACTTAAAAAGTTTTCCTCAGACAGAGGAAAAAATATATCAAAATCATCCTCAAATAAAAAACTGTTGGTAAATTTCAACCGATAGCAAGACACCTGACTCATCACATTTACAGATAGATATGAACTTAAAATAATTTAAATCATTTTGGTTAACTACTCTAAAGTACATAACACTTTACGTCCTCGGTGGCGGTGGGATGCGCGTGTTGGCCACGCGTCAAAGCAAGTGCATTTCAACCACAACAAATCATTAAAAAGGAAATACAAATTCCATTCGATAATCAAAGAACAAGAGCACTTGACCGACCTATGCATTATGGTCAGTAAAATAAAATTGATAAAATTGCTTTAATTATGATTTGGAAATATTTTCATCAAACACGCCATACAATCATTCAGTTCATGCATTATCCTTTGTTTATATCCTTCACGTACTCGTATGCAGAGTAGAGCAAAGTCTCATCAAAACCACAACAGTTAATAATAATAACTATTAAAATAATTATTATGACAGATAAAGATGTATTAATACACTTAGAAGCACTTAAATAGAGCGCAGCACAAACTAAAATGCCAAAGGATATACCAGAGGACATGTCAGTGCATTGATTGCGCCTGTTTGCACGAGAACTAAGTGTGCAATCAAGATTTTTATCGTCGCTTCAAATCCATAAAAATTAGTAAAAAATCAAAACAACAACAAAAGTGAAATGGCAAACGATTTTCCAATTCAGTAACTCCCCCACATGCACACCACCCCACCTCGCTCGCAAATTTTGATGCTAGCCAATTTAAATGGCATAAGACTGTGTGGTGTGTGTGTGTGTTTATATGCTGTGTGCAGCAGTGTGTGTGAGCATGAGCATGAATGAATCAATTGAATTGCTGTTGTGCTGCTGTGCTGCTGTGCTGCTGTTATGATTGCTGTTAAAAGCCAGTAAAATGCCGGCTTATCTGGGGATCAAAATAAATTCGTTTGAAATTAATACCGAGATTTGCCTTCATTAGCTCTCGGTAGCCAGCCGTGCGCTCAGAAAGCAGCTTCTGATTTTCCACATTTGACGAAAGTTTTAATACGCAAAACAACCACCGGCGAAGTGTAACATTGGGTGTTAAGACTTCATCCTGAAATGTGGTGAAAGGGTGCATTTGCTACATTGGAACTGGTTCCAATATTTTTCGTATTAACACAGAATAATAACAAAAAAAACTACTTCAATGGGAACATATAAGTGCGCTACAAAATTCGTGATACTGAATATATTCATTTCATGAATATGAAAAATATATCTATTTTTTAGATGTGATTCTAAAGATTATCAGATACAAATAAATTTTATAGCACGGTTTTTTTACATATATTAAAGTTTAAAGGAATAAAATGAATATGAAAGATATATCTATTTTTTAGATAGATATGATTCTAAAGATTATCAGATACAAATCAATTTCATAACTCTGTTATTTTTTACATATATCACAGTTTAAAGGCATAAAATGAATATGAAAGATATATCTATTTTTTCGATATGATTCTAAAGAGTATCAGATACAAATCGATTTTATAGCACTGTTATTTTTTACATATATCAAAGTTTAAAGAGATAAAATGAATATGAAAGATATATCTATTTTTTCGATGTGATTCTAAAGATTATCAGATACAAATAAATTTTATAGCACGGTTTTTTTACATATATCAAAGTTTAAAGGGATAAAATGAATATGAAAGATATATCTATTTTTTAGATAGATATGATTCTAAGGATTATTAGATACAAATCAATTTTATAGCACTGTTATTTTTTGACATATATCAAAGTTTAAAGGGATAAAATGAATATGAAAGATATATCTATTTTTTCGATGTGATTGTAAAGAGCATCAGATACAAATCAATTTTATAGCACGGTTTTTTTTTTTTGACATACATCAAAGTTTAAAGGAATAAAATCATTATAAAATTAAAAGTAGTTCGATTTAAACCTAAAATTGGTAAGTGAAATAAAGTAAGTTTTTTGGAACAATTATTTCTGAGATATTAAAGTGTTAAGAACTGAAATCTATTTTCAGGTTAAGTAGTCCTTGGCACACTACATTACATTTAGTATTAGTAATCAATAGCATTTTATCCATTAAAATATAAAGCGCTTACTACAAAACACTTAAAAATTACTAAATAATGTATCTTTTTTATAGTACATAAACTTTATCTATAGTATAATTATCAATTATTTTTAGAAAGAAATTAATTCTTTGAATTACTTATTAGGTTCTACAGACTTTAAATACAATTTTTATATAAATCATAGCTCAAAGATTATGCTTCTCATAAACTCAACATGCCATTTTCATATGTAGGGCACAAAAACTAGCTTCGACGCAGGATTCATTCACAATTTGCTAATCCTTAAACAAAACATAAGCCACAAAAATTTGTGTTGCGTTAAATTTAATAAGTTTTCTGGTACAATTGAAAAATTCCTATCAATCTACTTTTTTCGTCTCTTAAATTACAAAAACTTCTATTAAACTTTTTGTAAAAATATGGGTGAGCCACCCCTCAATGTCTATTTTCGTACTACTAATACTGTCTATACTTGGACACGTGACTTCAACTTTCAAATTTATAATTCTTAAATTTGTTGTTGTTGTTGTTGTACACTTTTGGGCATATTTTGTGCTCGTATGACACTTTAATTGCAGGTGAATTACT